GCAACACATACTTCATCTTAGGCAACACCAACTTGCATCGTTTTCTAGCCTTCTTCAACCATGCAATGTACTGCTCTACTGATTCCCTAGCCATCTGCTATAACCTGGCCAAATCAACCATTGTGACTTTTGACTCATTACAGCAGAGTTGAGCATAAAACTTAGCTTCGAGCAACTGTCAGCCAACACAAAATTGGGCTACAAATCAATGTACTGCCTGAAGGTCGCTCCTATCAAGGAATTTGCAAATAGCCTTAACTTCAGGAATTGTTTAACCCAGATTTCACTACACTAAACTATGAAGTGGCTAGTGTGTTCTATGGTCGACTAACCATATTCGCCCAAAAATGTGCAAACACTACAACTTTGTACCCTCGTGGACACTCATATTCCCTGTCCACCCAATGGGGATAAGGTTTTTGATATATCGACCTTATCACCCTTCTCATAGCAGGGCTAACATGCTCCTAGATAATCTCATCAAGTTGGTCTCTGTTCATAACCACCTGGGGTGCCACTAGAAAGACGATCGGCAGATGTCTTAATTACCCCCAACCTTGGGATTAGGGGTCATTCCCTCCTAAAGAAGAGGATTTTTGTTACGCCTGTGGCCATTCCTGGACTACTATACCCTTTGAGGCGACACATATGGAGGAAGCATTGGTTATGGCGTTTTTACTAGAACTGCATGTATAAGGAGAAACGATGGATGTCTCACACCCCTTGGACGACTTAAACTATCTGCTAGCCGCTTTAACGCTTGTCTGGTATGACTGAATTCTTCTTTGATAAAATCCCCCAAGCCTTGAATAAAACTAGAGACTTACTAAGAAACTTCATCCAATATAACCTTGATTGAAGCCTCCGACTTTGAGTTGGATTGGCGATTCTCTTGCCCCTTGAGTGGAGGCAATTCTTCCAGCAAGTTAGGGATGTCATGTCTACTTTCTTCCACAACTTCATGCACTGGAGGCACTTCAAATGAACCAATTTTTTGTCTTTACGTTGAGTGTTCGCCATGTTGTTTCTCTAATGGTCCCACAAAGAGTGCCAAAGTCCAAATGGACTTAAAATCAAAACACGTAAGACCTTACCTACTCGAAATGACGTGGGGTTCTAAAATCATGATTATTCAAGTGATTGTAGCGAGGCGTAAGGTTATCTCTAGATTGTTTTCTATGCCTTGGAGTTTCAAGGACTTCAAATAATTTGACCAGATAGAAATGTATGAACGATACTATAAGGTATATGATAGGAATGCAAAATAACAAGTAAATTAAATTTCAATCTAGAAGATGAAATGAATACTGAACTTAGCATTAAATGAAAATAATAAAAAAAACAGTGAAATAATGTATTACAGGAAAAGTAATGTTGCTTGGAAGCAAGAAACAAATAAAAAGATAAGCTGACTCTATGAAGAGTTTTTGTGATTGATCACAGTATCATTTCTCGGTGGTCTAACCTCTACTATTTATAGAGATAACTCTCAACTGTTGATCCATCTTTTCAGACCATTATGTGTGATCATGGTCATGTCCCTTGAGATACATGAATGTGTGCTGAATCGTTTCCAACTAGCGTCTTATGATGTCACGTTTTCTCATTTCTCGGGATTCCAAGAGTCTTATTCCGCTTATTGTCCTATCAATTGTGGAATATCATAGACTCTCTTGTGACTGTCAGATCCCTTCCATGTGTTACCATCTAATCTTACTATTTTGTGGGTGTAAACAGGTGTGATGACACCTACGTGGCATACTTCGCACGTACACAAGAGCGACAATTGGGTGCGTCCATTAAAGATGGACATGACCATTAAATCAACAGTTAAGATTCAAATGGAGGGAATTCAAATTAACTGAAATTTGAATCCGGTATTCATTGTTTAACACAGACCAATGACTCGATACATATAGAGCCCGCTCAAACACCAAGAGATACTTAGAATTTTAGGTTGTTCATTCTCTTTTTTTTTTTTAATTAAATTCTTTTCAGATAAAATATTTTGTTCATTTCATTTTACTTTCGGAATTTTGAATTGGCTATTATAATTTTCGGTGAGTGGCCATAGTGCAAGCCACAGACAAGTTGGGCTCTATTGTAACTTGAAGGCAGAATTACGAATTTCTTATTTGCACACCTTAAGCAGTTTTTGCTGGGGGCAAATGCTATTTTTTGAAAAATGTTTCTCCATGACTTGAGACATTACAAATTTGCAGTGAAGTTTCAGAGATCCAGTTTTATTCTAAACCAATCTTGAAGAAGTGGATTTTTTAACAAGATTTTCTCCAATATATTTTCTATTCAATTCTCTTCTTTGTGGATTATATTCAAATGGATCCCTCACTTATTATTGGTAAATAATCCATCAAAAAGTTGAAAAAAAAATATTAAAGAGAACTTACAGTGAAATCAATGGTTCTAATTGTCAAGTTTATTTTTTAAGTCCATGTAATATTGCTCAATCTGTAATAGCCAAAGTTCAGAAAATGTCAAACCACATATATTAGGTTTTGATTCTAGTTAGGCAGCATAGGAAAGGCCACATTTATTAGTTAATTAATTTCTTGTTCCATGCCATAACTAGCACCAATTTAAAATGGTCCATGGCCTATTAATTGCCATTACGAAGTCCCATCAATGGTAGAGATTGGCATCAAATGAATTTTCACTCAAAATTAGATGGGTTAATTGCAAGTTGTACCCCAAAAGATAGTTCGAATATTAATTTATATCCCCAAAGATTAAAAATTTTAATTTGTACCTTCAAAGATATAAATTTGTATCAATGTACACCCCCAAAAATAAAAAATCTTAATTTGCACCTCAAAGATAGAAATTTGTATCAATGTGCATCTAAAACTAAATTAATAAATTATACCTAGATCCCCTCATGTTTGTCACTTTATCATTTGGATCTCTTCACATTTAGAATATTACTCCTACATCTCATGACATTTATGCACGTATAACACGTAACTCTTTTTCATTGATATATGCTAATATAACTGTTAAAAAATATAATTTTATCCTAATAAAAAATTATAATTTCATATTACCCTTTATTTTGTGGGTCCGATATACTATAAAGTTCAAAATCAAGCTTACCATTTGAATGTCAAATAGAATAAAAGGTTGCACAATGAGTGATATATTGCATTTATATAATATTTTTTATATCCAATGCAATATATCACTCAATGTGCAACCCTTTATTCTATTAGACATTCAAATGATAAACTTGATTTTAAAGGGTAACATAAAATTATAATTTTTTATTAGAATAAAATCATATTTTTTAACGGTTATATTAACAGATATCAATAAAAATGGGTTACGTGTTACACGTGCACAAACGTCATGAGATGTATGAGTAATATTTTAAATGTGAAAGGGTTCAAATAATTAAGTGACAAGCATAAGAGATATAGGTATAATTTATCAATAAAGTTTTAGATGTACATTGATACAAATTTTTATATTTGAGGATGCAAATTGAAATTTTTTATCTTTGGAGGTGTACATTGATACAAATTTTTATCTTTGAGGGTGTAAATTGAGATTTTTGATCTTTGGGGGTGTACATTGATACAAATTTCTATTTTTGAGAGTGCAAATTAATATTTTTAATCTTTGAGGATGCAAATTAAGATTCGAATGATTTTTCAGGGTACAATTTACAATTAATCCAAATTAGGTAGAGTTCCCTGACGATAGAATGCGTTTTACAGCTAGCAAAGATTTTTGGCCATCAAAATTATTGTTGCATGCATTCATGGCCTAAAGTTTTTGATGGTCTGAACATCATCACATGATTTGTAAAAGAATTTATATATGTGTGTCAAACAGGGAGCAATTCAAAGTCTAAAATCAGATTCTCCGAGTTTACAGTAAGATTGCCTACCATTAGGCCAGGTAAATTTTTTGGGTTAGAGTCTAGAGATAATTAAAATGGTTCTTTGAAAGCTTTGACATTCACTAAACATGTTTATTGGTGAATGAATAAGTGATAAAACTCATTGATCTAACGGTTGCAATTGATTTGTTACACACCTTTGGTGTGTATAGCATTGCTCTTGGTGAATTTAAGTGCATCTCTAATAATGTTTACCAAACAACCAAGTTATCCAAAATTGCCCACGTCTCTCTCTCTCTCTCTCGGTGGAGGATCTACAAGTGTGTGTATTACACAATCTTTTTTTATACATAATTTACACGCAGGGAAAACTTACTTTTTACGAATATTCACGCGCAATGAGAACTTGTCTCCCAGATATTTTTTTTTTGGGCTGACAAAAGAGGTGTTACAAGTGGAAATTTTTTACAAGTATTTCTCTCATTCCACACGTAAATACCAGTAAAATCTAGGACACTAACTCGGAGATGGGATAATTTACGATTCAATGAGATTACATTACGATTTAATCAGATTTAAAAATTTGTAACCGATCTTAAAAAATGTGGGATCAATCCAAACAGGTTTCAATGGACCCTGATTTTTGAATCTACCCTTAACCCCCATTGAGTTGTAGTTTCGTATATTTGAATTGTAACTTCATCTGATTGAATTGTAGTACCAAAAAATTGGTGTTTAATAAGTAAAAATCCCTTAAATAAATAGTTTGCCATCATTTTTTTTTCAACTTTACAACTTCTTGAAATTCTCTCTTTTTCCCTTTTGCCACAAAGAGTAGAAGGAGATCATCAAGAGATGAGGATATGTCCCCGTACACTCTTCTTGGAAGCACGACAAGTGAGTCTCTCTTCATGCTAATATGCTTTTTGGCAGTGAGGAAGATCAATTTTGCTAACACATTTTTGGGAAAGGCCATTTGTTCTTTAACAAAAAGACACAAGAACATTACATTCAGAAAACATCATATCATTTATTCTCACACTTATTCAAGTCCACATTTAGGTTATGTTGGGAAATTCATATAATATCCTTCAGTTCCATGCCAATACCACTCCAAAAATCTCAACAAACAGCAAGCTAATCATGCCCCTCCTGTTCCCTTCCTTGAATTAGACTTCGATGGCAGTATCCGAATCCTCTTGGCCACCCTAACAAAGTCCCTGGAGAGAGAGAGAGAGAGAATTCCATACAACAATATTAGCACCTATTTGGCAAAACAAAACAAACAAATCTACATAAATCTTACTACACAATAATATACTTAGACATGCGTACACATAGAATACTATAAAGCAACTAAGCTCAAAAGAATACAGTAAGCCTTGAAAATGTAATAACAAAAGCATTTTAAAACGTAAAAAAAGTGAGAACATATTGCGAATGGGTCTTTGATGTACTGTCTGGTAACACTTTTTTCAACGCTTTTTGTTCATTGAGAGAGTGCGATTCTGTACAAAATTTAAATGCAAGTGCAGTACTACTTACTTCCAATTAAGGTCACCAACAAGAAGAAGATCATTTTCCATGTCTTCATAAGCAATGAGGTGACCAGGAACAGCATTCGAAAGATCAACACCAATATCAGACGTAACACCAGACTCGCCGCCGTCCACAAACATCTGTCGGAGAGCCTTTGCAAGGCTGTGGTAGCTGGCATGATTATGAAGGCTGATGCGCTGGCAGATCGAACGGCCTTCAAGCACCACTGTGACTGGTGGGAGCACATTGGAGACTAGATCATCATCATCATCAAAACCTCCGGGAAAGCTTTGGAGATTTTTAGGGTTACCCATTAACGGTGATGGAGTATCACCCAGAAGTCTGGAATAGAAACTGGAAGCGCTGCTCGAACGGTTAGGATGATTTTTTTGCCATCTCCTTTTCAAGGAGTCTTGCCTTTGAGAATCAAAACTGTTCATGTTTTTTTGTTCTCTGCTCTTTCTTCTCTCTCTCTTTCACAGACACACCCAATCACACAGAGAGTATAGTCTGTACGTATTGTGTTTTGTCCTTTTGGAGGAGATTTGGTGAGGAATCAGAGTGGGTATGGTCCTTGTTCCGAGTTATGTTAGAGAGAGAAGGAAAATTCAAAACTGCACTAAAAAGAGTTAGGTCTTTGGTGGGGTCTCTTTCTCACACACAGTGAGGGGGAGAGAGGAGATGAATTGTTCTTAGCGTTGAGGGTGTGTTTAGTCGATGGAGAAAATATATAAATGAATGTGTGAGAGAGAGAGAGAGCACAAATGTTGGGAGAGTGTCAGGATAGTGTCTGAAACCGCTCCAACTTCGAGCTATCCTTTTCCAATTTCAAAGTTGCCATTAAATGGGTGTGAATGTGTATTTACTCAAAACTCTTGTTTCACTTTGTTCTTCAGTACCTGACCAAAGGGACCTTTGCTTATGTTGTCTCTCTCCCGCTTGTCTGCCCCTCTCTCACACACCAACTTTGTCAATTAGAAAGAGGAGAAATTACTGATGATACATAAATTGATTTTTGTGTAAAATTAACAATAAAGAATGTATAAGTATTCGCATCGTGTACATTTATTTTTTAATTTTTTATCATTAATTTAAAAAAAACTTGTTGTATTTTAATAGATCTTTTAGCAATTTATGATGGACAATCTAGTATTAGCTCATCGCGTTAATGGTTTAGCGGTGAATAATAAAACAAAAAAGTAATTGAAAAATTTTAAATTTGAGAGCGTCTGAATGAGTCATAAAAACAAGACAACTGGCTACTCTGTGTCGGATTAGAGTCCAGAGAGAGAGAGAGTGTGTGATAAAGCAAGTGGGGGATGTTTGCTTGTGAATGAGAAAGAGGGTGTGTCTTAATTTCTGTGACTCTTTTAAATTTGAATATTTAGGTGTATAGAGATATTGAAATTGTTAAACAATTTCATGAGATTGGTGATAAAATGCGTGAAGAAAAAGCGAGTGAAAACACATTTTTAATTATATTAAATAAAATAAATGTACTATAAACCTAATAAAATAAAGGGTAAATTACTTTTTACACCTTAAAATATACAACTAATTTCTATTTGGTACTTTAAGTTCCAATTGTAACAATCACATCCTTAAAATTTTTAATTGAGTTTCACTGTAATCCTTACATCAAAAATCAATAATTTATTATGACGAAATGGTCTATAATAACCAACGCATGATGTGGATAAAAAAATATATTTGTTCGATGAAAAATCTCTTAGGTATATTTTAGAAAACTTTATTTTATTTTGAAAAAATAAGATAACAAACCCAAAAAGAAAATGATAAATTTGAGAGATACTGTGATACATAGAGAAATATTCTCATATTTGAGAGAGATATTTTTTGTTGCATAAATATATGCTTATGTGTAAATTAATCATGTGACGTGCTTCTCTTGCAACAACTTAAAAAATTTGGATGAAATGATTAGACTAATGCTCTATTTAGTAGGAATGATGGAAAGTAACAGAGATACACTTCTATTATGTAAGAAAAGAAAATAAAAATGATACATTTTTATTTTCTTTGTGTTTGATTGGATGGATGAAAGATAAAAATGATTAAATATATTTTTTTTTATTTTTGTTAGTCAAGATTAAGGGTGATAATCGAGTCGTATTGTATCAGATTCGTGTTGAGTTATTACAGGTGTATATTGAATTTTAGTGAAACATAACTCAATTTATTTAATTAATTGCGAGATGTCGAGTTGCGAGTTTTTTTTTCTTTTTTTTTTTTGTATTATGTTCGCGTTCGTATTCGTGTTGACACACATATATTTTGAATAAAAAATTTAACGCTAATATTCTATTTTCATTTAATTGAATCAATATTAATATTTTTTCTACAAATTAAAAATTAACTTAAATATATATAATAATTATATTAGTGCTTAATAAATTGTTATAAATAATTAACATTTTATGTCTACAATACTAGTTAAATATGCTGGTGTCATAAAATTTGTGTCGAATTTAAGTCGTATCATGGTGTTGAGTCGAAAATTTTTATCCTTAGTTTAGACGGAAAAATATTTTTTTAAAAAATTTTAATTTTAATTTTTAATTTTTAAATTTATTTTAAAATTTTTTTAAAATATATATATATATATATATATATATATATATAT